TGTACTGGCTAGGGATAGGACAACCAAAACAAATATATATGTGAAACAGTTTGTCTGAAAAGAAGTGTGACTGAATGGCTAAGATTTGGGTGTAACATATTAGAGCCTGCGTTCTGAACCCAGCTGTGCCTGCAGTGACTTTGTGTGACCTCTCTGTTCATTTATTTATAAAGCGGGGTTGTGACAGCTCCTATTTAATTTCATTCTAGGGTTGGGGTCAGAGCTGTCATCAGTAAAAAGTGTGGTGAAGTGTATGGAAATACTCTGCAGTAAGTAGAGGTGATATTTGAATATATGGTTTCCTAGGTCCCAGCTAAGGGAACTGTCCCCAGAATTGCAGGAATATTTAGCAGGAGGAAGTCTTGCCCTCTCTCTATCTGAAGCTCTATACATGCCTGAGGCAGTTATTTCCCTTCAACTGAAACCTGATTTGGAAGAGCAAGGTTGTAGTCATTACTAATAATCTGAATCTGAGCCCCAGAGCTGCTCTATGCAATGTAGTTGTAGCCTCGCCCACCTTTTCTCATCCAGAGCTGCTGTTCATTGTGGCAGTTCTGCAATCTTTGTTCAACGGGAACTCTTCAGCCCCCCTTCCTGGGGTTGTACTGCTTGCTAAATGTGCAGAAGTGGGGATATGCAGAGGCACCCTGAAGAAGGAGAAGTTACCTATCGGTAACTGTGGTTCTGCATGAGAGTTCCCTCTACAAAATCTCACTCCCCACCCACCTCGCTTCTTTAGAGTCTTGTATTCCTGAATTAGTGGAAGAAAGGTGGGGGACACTCCCCACTTTATGCCCTGGGAACCCTGCTTGAGGGGAAGGAGGCGAGGAGTGGCCCCAATGAACATTGCTTTTTAGAGGATTTTGGAAGCTCACAGCACAGTTCCTTTGCGAGAATCAAGTTTGAATATGCAGGGGCAACGCTCTTGAACAACCCCGTTACTGTTCAAAACTTCTCTTTTGAACACCTGAAAACAGGGGCTAAGGATGAAAATTCTATCGCATCCAGAAATAACAGTATTGTGTTAGCCACACAACATTCCAGGGTGGTGTGTTGTTAGGAGCACACTAATGGGCCTGATTCTAAATTGCTTTATACTTTGTGTAGCCATTAATCTGTGTAAAATGAGCACTCAGTGGATGTCCAATGCTACATTCAGTATAAGCTGAGTGGAGATTTCTGATTTGGTAGCTTTTTGCAGCCCCTTTGCACTCACTGGGCTCAATCCTTAGCTGTGCGAGACCAGCACCCGGTGCAGCCGATGGCGGGAAGACAAAGGTGGTTTTACAATAGCCCATTCTGGCAGCAGAGCCATAAGGGTCCTTTCAGGCAGCTGGCAAGACACACACTCTTTCCCCAGACATGCCCCCAACACAGCTCCTATGCTGATGTCCACAAGGTGCAGTGGGTACTGCTGGTTACATTGGCTTCCCTGTCCCTCTCCCCAAGGATGGCCCCACACAGTGGAAATCCCCAGGAGGCTGCTTAGGATGGCTATTTGGCCCTCCTGTATCATCAAAGAGGCACAAATGGGCCATACCAAGACTGATGATGTGGTGCGCTTTGCACAGGTGCAAATGGCTACACAAGGTGCAGGGCAGTGGAGAATCAGGCTCCCTGTTTTCAGGTGTTTATAAATTCTATAAAATATTATTTGGGGATTAAATTCCTCATGCCGTGTGACAGCCCAAAATAAGATTTGGGAAGTATCATCATATGTTTACTCTCTTGAGCTGCTTATCTGTGGGGGGGAAATGGTCTGTTTAAAAAAAATTCTGTCTTGCTTTATTATATATAAGGAAGGCTTGAGTGTTTAAAGTGTTTTTTGTTCAACTCAAGCTTTTGATATACAGTTGTGAGAAAAGATATCTTCAAAACATCTGCCCCTTTAATTATAGGGCTGAGAAAGCTTCCACTGGGCTTGCAGTGAGACTCCTGCCACAACCGGGGATGACTAAATGCAGCAGTACTGACATTTCTAGTTTTTTGGGGTTTTTTTTTAAGATGAAGAACCCCACTTTGTTAACATTTTTTGTTTTGTTCTTTGGTGGTTTGCTTCCAACCCTTTCAGATTGTTTGTTTGTTTTTTATAATAATACCCAGCTCTAATATAGTGTTTTTCATTAGCATATCTTAGTGCTCACATATCATAAAGAAAGACACTATGGTTATGTCTACACAGAAACATAAGCCTAAGGTTAGAGGGACTTGATGTCAGGGAACCCTGGGTTTGAGCATCTACACTTCATTTTAACCCCATATTAAGGATTTTCTGACCTGTGCTTGAACCTAGGGCTCTAGCCTCCACACTGAGGTGCACAGACCTGAGTCAAAGTGACCCTATCCCAGAGTGTCTAATATCCCTCCATCCCAGTGTCAACACTCTAGTCCTACAACTACATTGCATTGTAGGAAAAATCTAATGTCCACCCTGTTTCTTAACTGTAATGGTGCTGTTGATGGGATTCAGGTGCCCAAAAAGAGCACATGAGTACAGAAACTGCATAATTAGCTCCTTTGGTGGCTGTCTCAGTAGAATGACTGCAGTTTGTGAAGGCTTTATACTGGACTACCACCTAATCTGAGAGTTGGGCTCTCCATCTCTAGGCTGAGTCACAGTGGCAGGAAAATGCCCATGTGCTCCTATTCGGTGGATAATTAGGACGTCAGTCTCCAGGGCTGTCAAACTATTAAATGAAACTTTGTACTTCTTAATTTTTTTTTAAATGGGATGTTCAATGAAGCTGTTTTTATTTATTTATTTATTTATTTTTCTGTTTTGAAGTTTGAGATAAAATGACAGTATCAGAGGAAAAACACTCTCCCACCCCAGGCTGGCTGTTGCCTGCACAGAGCATTAAAGTGTTTCCCCAGGGCTTGGGGTGCAGTGTGCTCCAGCACCCCCCAAGGATCCCTTATCCTTTCCCCCACCACACCCTGGGAGGCAGAGATAAAGGATCCCTGGAGTCTGTGCAGATGTTTTGGAGCTGCTCCCTCTCATTGCCCTCACAATGCACGCTGCCCAGGCAGCTCTATACACGCAGCCCCAGGGAGGGCAGTAGGGGCCAGAGAGTAGAGTGGGACCAAGTGGCTGCCCTGCAGGGATCAGAGAGCAGCAGAATTCCTGGCTCAGCATGGCCAGAGCAGGGATGACTCTGAACATCCTGGCAGCTGGGAGCCGTCTCCCACCTCTCAGTTTTGCTCCCTGCTCTGGGCAAGCTCTGCACAGCAGCAAGGAGGAGCTGGAGCCAAAGCCACCACCACCATAAGAGTGTGATTGGGTGGACTAGGCCCAGAGGCCCCCTGCTGAAGGCCTCAGTGTTCTGCCACTCTTGTCCCAGGAAAGGAGTAGTAGAGGAGTCCTCCAAGCAGCCTAGAGTGGCTGCAGGGGAAGCAGCCAATCAGGGCCCAGGAAGATCATATAAAAAGGAGCTGCAAAGCCAGTGACAGGCAGTTTCTGGTCAGAGTCAGAGGAATGCAGGTGGTTCTCCTGGCTGGCTAAAGGGAACTGCAGCACCATGGACAGCTCAGTGCCAGCAGGGACTGTGGGAGCGAGATAGCTCCTGGCTGACTGCTGGGCCTGAACATAGAAGAGCCCTGAGCTAAGGAGGAAGCACTGGTGAAGGCTGGGGCTGTGGGGAAGTGACTTAGGGAACTGAAAGCAGCTTAGTTAGAAGGACATAGCGGTGTGTAGCTGCTATTCTTAAGGTCCCTGGGCTGGGACTTGGAATAGTGAGTGAGGCTAGGTCCCCACATAGGCCACTGGCAAAGTGGCCTACAATTTGGACAGCAATAACTCCCAAGAAGGGGATCTGATCCACTTAGTGGCCCAGCTGGGGCCAGAAGGGCCCAGAGAGGATGTATCTATTGCCGCCAGGGAGGAAGCCCTGGGGCTATGGCCTGATACCAGGGCTAGAGCTATTTAAAGACTGAAGATGCACCTGACCAGAAGGGGCACTAGTGAGAGGTGGATGCCACGCTGTCACAAGGAGGCTGGTTTGTGGCTGGTTCTCACTTGCCACCCTGACAGTGCAGGCAGTCCAGGCACTCCTGCACACGAGGCCTCAGGGGGCCCGAGAGCAAGGGCCAGTGAGCAAAGTGGGGACAAGCAACTGCCATGCAGCAAGGCAGAGCTGGAGTTACCACCACTGAAGGAGGCTGTGGGGGAATTTTTGGGACTCACTCCCTTGACAGTGCATGCAGCCCATGCAGCCCCAGAGGGGGCAAGGACCAGAGATTGGAGTAGGGACCAAGCGGCTGCCCTGCAGGGAGGGAGAGCAGCAGGGCTCCCAACTCAGCATGGCCAGGAGAAGGATGACTCCCAAACTTGCAGTGGCTGTGAGCTGCCTCCAGTTTGGCAGCTTTGCTCCTTGGTTCGGGGAAGCTCTGTGCAGCAGTGAGGAGGAGCCAGAGCAGGAGCTGCTGCCACTGGGAGAGGAGCAGGAACAGGGATCGTGTTTGGCCAGGCAGTAATGGTGCTTCTGGCTGCTGGGCTGGCTGCCTGCAGCACTGCTCCTCTGCCACCTGGATCTCTGGGATACACCCAGAGGGCTTCCAGGACCCAAGTCAAGCCAGGGCTATGTGCACACAGGAAAGCAATAGGGCTTGGATCCTATGTCCCAGCTTAACATGGGCTCAGACCCTCCAGCCCTGCAAGGTCTTGGGACCCTAGATCTGAGCCCTAGGTTAGCAGAATTGATTTGTGGACCCAAAGGGGATTAGACTTGAGCCCAGTCTTGCCTTGTTGTGTAGACATACCGTAAGTGGCTACTCTAGTGGGTTTTTTTCTTTTTTTAGAGTATTGCTTCTGATGTCCATTTTTAACAGATCACTGAACTAGTGTCTCCAAAGAAATTCTCTCTGCCTGCCTCAGCCGTGGGTTTTCTAGGGAGATTTTTACTGCAGAGAACCCTGAATGAATGACTTGTACCAATGTCCTGAACTGCCCGATACTCTGTGATTTTTGTTGCACTAACATTCATGTGAAATTTCTCTTTCAGCTTTGGGCCCTCAGCAAACACCTGACAGATCAGCAAATGGTATGTGTCACTCCAATAGGGAATTGCTTAATTACCAGTGATTACCAGCATTAGAATAGATCAGCCAGACTTTGGGTTTACTAGTAGAAATAATAAGTAACACCTCAGAGTGCAGTCTCATCAGATCACACAGGTTAAGCAGGGTTGGATGGGAGATCTCCAGGAAAGAATCAGGTGCTGCAGAACATGGTGCTGGAAGTAGGCGGAGATCTTGTCTCAGGCAGTACTAAACCAGTGCAGCAGCATGATGCTGGAAGACACTGTCCTGCTAGGAACACCATCTTTTAAATGAGGCAAAATAACTAGAGGTCAACATTTGTGGTCACTGATGGTGCTATGGCACTTTTTAAACCTTTGGGCCCTGGACAAATTTTAGGTTATATTTAGTTATATTCTTTGCACCTAAATTCCCATTATTGTTTCAGTTATACCTGTCATTCTCCATCACTTCATCCCCTACTTTGTTAGAGTGCCATTGTGCACTGTTAAACACCAGACAGGTTTCACCCTAGAGGTGGCCGCATTTCAGTAACTGATGAAGTGATTCTTTTTTTATTTATTTTTTATAATGCATAAAAATATGCACAGAAGGTCTGAGCCTACACTTTTCTCTCACATCATTGATTTCAATGGGAGCACTCAAAATTAGTAAGTACTAGGAAAATTAGTTAATTTATGTGGTGACACTTTATGATGCAAGGAGCACTATAAACTTACAGTACCAGTATTACTGTTTAAATAGCTTTATTGTAACATTACAATAACATCTAATGCTTCTTGTCACTAACTCAGCTTACAGAGTGAAGTACAGAGAACATATAAAAAACAAATACAGCACAATAAAAGACATGAATGCTCGTCTTGGTGAGAATGTGAAGCTAAACAGCAGGTACACAAAGCTGATCATTGTAAATGAACATCGTCACAAAAAGCAGAGAGAACATGAAATAATGGCCCTGGGACGGAGACATGCAGAAATCCTGACTAAGCACGCTAGTCCTATCACCATAGGCGATTTATTTGAATCTGATAGAGATGGACAATTACCACAAATCGTCGTGCTGCAGGGAGCTGCAGGGATTGGAAAAACACTGACAGCAAAAAAGATCATGTTGGACTGGGCAAATGAAGAACTGTATCAGAGCAGGTTTGATTATGTTTTCTACATAAATTGTAGGAAAATTAACTTTGTCAGAGAGCAGAGAAGTGTTGAAGATTTAATTTTAGAAAATTGTCCTGATCAAAATGCACCAACTAAAGAGATTCTGATGAATCCAGAAAAACTCCTGTTCATAATTGATGGTTTTGATGAACTGAGATTTTCCTTTAATCAACCAACAAGTAATCAGTGCTCTGATCCCTGTGAGAGGCAGCCAGTGGAAATCATACTGAGCAGTTTATTTAGGAAAGAAGTGCTTCTCAAATCTTACTTAATAATTACTACAAGACCAATTGCCCTGGAGAAACTTGAGCAGTGTTTGAAAGATGAACGTTATGCAGAGATCCTGGGATTTTCTGAAAATGAGAGAGAAGAATATTTCTACAAGTTCTTTGAGAATGAAGAACAAGCAAGAAAAGCCTTTAACTTTGTAGAAGACAATGAAATGCTCTTCACCATGTGCTTTGTTCCCCTTGTGTGTTGGATCATCTGCACAGTTCTGAAACAACAGATGGAAGCAGGTGAAGATCTTGCACAAACTTCCAGTACAATCACTGGAGTGTACATGAACTATCTCTTCAGCTTATTAAAGGGTCACAGCAGCAATTCAGAGAAACAGGTACAAGGTAACTTAAATGGACTTTGCTCCTTGGCTGCAGATGGAATCTGGAGGAAGAATATACTGTTTGAGGAAGAAGATGTCAAGAAACACGGCTTAGATAAACCTGATTCCCTCTTTCTGAATGAGAACATGTTTCAAAAAGGCATTGACTGTGAGTTTGTTTACAGCTTCATTCACTTGAGTTTTCAAGAGTTTTTTGCAGCTTTGTTTTATGTGTTGGAGAAAGAAGAAACAGTGGAAAATTCAGAAACTGCTATACAAGCTCTGGAAAAATTGTTCGAAGAGTGTGGAAAATCTAGGAATTATTTAATGTTGACAATGCGATTCCTGTTTGGTCTCTTAAATAAAAAGAGAATGGAGGAGATGGAGAAAAAACTTAGCTGCAAAATTTCACCCAAAATTAAAAATCATTTACTAACATGGGTTAAAGAAAAACTCTCTTTGTCATTGCTCAACTATGATGAGTTGTCTTCTTTGGAGATGACGATTTTCTATTTTGAGTATTTTCACTGTTTCTACGAAATTCAAGAAACAGAATTTGTGCAGAGTGCAATGGATCATTTCACTGAGCTAAAATTAAATGGTCGTACCTTTACCAAAATGGATCAAATTGTTCTTCAATTCTGTATAAAGAATTGTTGTAAATTGGAGTCAGTTTATCTAGATACGTGTCTGTCTCTAACTGAAGACCTGAATGAAGATTCCCCAGGACCAAGCAAGCGGCCACGTTGGTGAGTGTTATCTGAGTTCTAAAAATGCCTACATAATTTATTATTTTTTAATCTTTGATTTTTTTTCCTCCTGGGTTTTCATAGCTCACAAATGGTCAAATGACCCAGCATAAAAGTGACTCAATTTAGTGACAGACATTTAAGCCTGGGAAGGACCATGCCCCATCCACCCCAAACCTTAAAAGCATGGAAATAAGAAGTTATGTGGAAAGAGTTGTGCACTCCTTTCTATCTTCATGTTGCCTAAACATTGTCAGTAACACTGCAGTGTTCCATTTGGCTTTCACTTCCATCTCCAGTAGCTACTAAAAGCAATATGTACCCCAACTTCATCACACTTACACTCCAGTGCAAAACCCTATGAACTGCTAGAGTGTGGAGCTGGGAGGAATGAGATATGAAAAGGTTGTGGGTGGCTGAAATCTTTATAGAGACAGAGTGGGTGTTCTGGAGGCAGCAAGAGAAGTGCGGGGGGAGGGGAGGGAAAGAGAGGGGTGGGCATGAGGTTAGGAAGGATGGCAGCAGAGGGGCCAAGGTGGGGGAGTGAGGGAGGGCGGCAGAGAGGGTGAGGATTGAGGGAGGGCCTAGGTTAGGGCAGATATCATCAGAGGTTAGGAGGCAGTTATGTATATGAGACCTATAGCTATTTGGGCTGGTGGGAGGAATAGGGAGATTGGGATGGAGTCGGTAGAGCAGGTGGGAACTGTAGCCGGGTGAGGGAACATAAGAAAGGAGAAATGAGGCCACTGGAGGGAGAGGAGGACAGCTGCTGTGATGAAGAAATGGGGATGTGATGAGAACCGTGGATGATTGACAAGATTACAAACAGCAGCAACAACAAAATCTCAGAAGAAATTTAGCTACAAAGCTCTAACAAGTCCCTACAGAGTTTGTGCACATTGAGTTTTTTCAAAGGCTTATAACTTGGCCATAGTTGGATGGATTTTCATGGGAACAGCAAAAGGTATGGCCCTGACACAAACACCACCCCAACCCTTGCCAAATTTCAAGTCCCTGCTCCAAAACATGGGGGAGCTAGAACTTCTGAAAGAAAAGATTGCACGTTTGTTTTGTTTTTTTAACATGGATAAAACAACCTAATTCTCAGAAATGGCTGAACCAAATGCTAATAACTTTGCCAAATTAAACCAACTGAAAACAGGGACATGTCCAGGAATCTTAATAACAGGAGTCACTACTAGTTCTGCATATAATAGTTTTTGTATAAGCTCTGTCTGTTATAATGTGTAGAAACGGTGCCTTGCACACTGGGACCCTAATCCTGGCTGGGCCCTCCAGGGGCTATTGTACTACAAATAATAAATGATAGCAACTTTGGTTCTGTGCACTAGATCCCAGCTAGGGGAATCCACTGAACTGTTTTAACTTTACTCCCTTTTGTTGTTTTACTAGAAAGTGGCAAAAAAAAAATACTTTTTGACCTAGGGTGAAGATCTCTATTTTTAGAGTGTCCTAATCCAGGAACCTCTTGGCCAATTCACTTCAAATTTGATAGAAAAATTCAATCTCCACCACAAACCTAACTGGACTACTCATCCAGTGTTTGGCATCCACTTCCCCTTTGGGGAAGGAATATTTAAGTTTGTTCAGGGTAAATGTTGGATCTCCAATGTGCCAGAGAAAGTAATTTGCACATATGCAATTGGTCTGGGGCTCTTTGCAAACCAGAGTGTTTGCAGGCAGCCTGATGTGTAGCTCAATTTTGTATTTCCTAGTTTTCAGATTGTGCTGGGGCATATAGGCCCCATGCTGACAAGAAGGAGATTAATGAGGGCCTGTGGACCCAGTTAGCTCCACCCTATGACAGCTGCGGCAGATGTCAGGTGTGAAGTGGGCAGTTAAAAGGAGACAACCTAGCTCTGTTGGGTGCTGTCCAGAAGGGGTACAAGACAGAGCTGGGCAACCTTAACACAAAGTTTTTGGGCAGCTAATATCAGTTATACATAGGAACTGTTTGTGGAGCATTTCATACCATTTTAATCATAAGAATAAATCTGTGCACCAAGCCAAATGTGCCAATGTATCTGCCACTGCCCAAATGCCAACACTCAGTCTGAGGGATTTTCTCACCAAATGCCATTATAGTATTGGGCAAACATCCTAAGACTGGAAACCAGGATCCCAGGAGTTCAAACCTCACCTCTTCTAAGTGCTGCTTATATTATATTCTCAAGCAATTCATTAGCCTTTTCATTGACTAAGGCCATGATCCCTAACCTTAGAAGGGAGTTCCCAAAGACCTGTTGAACACACCCCATTGTTTGAAGAAACTGGCAGAGAGATTATGCAGGGTCACTACGGGGGCAGACCCCAGCTCTCTAAAGTATCAAACCCCAATTCCATCCACTGAAACATACTGTCTTTCATGTTCGCTACACCAGTTTTGCTTATCCTCTCTCTAACCACTACAAACCACATTCCTCACCCTGAGCGAGGGATAGAATCCAGGATTCCTGAACAACCATATTCTACTGCTGATTAGTAAATACTTGAGTAACCCTCTGTGAAAATGTTTATCAAGATTTCGTCCAGTGGCTGGTCTACAAGATGGCTAGTAGTTACTCCTGCGTAAGGACCTGGTGTGAGCAGTCAGGCCTAGTGGTTGGAGTTAGGAGCCAGGAACTGGAGCCAGGTCTCAGAGCTGGAGTCAGGCGATGAGCCAAGGGTTGAAGCCAGAATCAAGGATATGGCAGAGTAGCAGGGACTTGGAGTGAGGCAGGAAAGTAGGAGCAGGGAGTGGAGGAGGTTCTGGGATAAAGCAGGCAGGAACAGGCTGGGAGGCAGGAACAGGAAGAAAGACAGAGCTAAGGAGTCAGGTGTGTGGGCATGGTCCAAAGTGGTAGCCAGCCAGGGATCCAGCCAGGGATCCACCCTAGTTGCTCAGACAACTTTCTGTGCCTCCTTCTGGCTTAAGTGATGCATTGGGCCGGATGTGTCCCCCAATCAAGAGGTTCATGGTTGGAATCCTTAGTAAGCTAGAGCTCCTCTAGCTCCCTTCTTCACCAATTCTGGTGATCTGCTGGGTGGTGGTCATGGTCTGAACACTGCTTGGGAATGACAGGCTATGGTTTGGGAATGATGACCCCTCAAATCACCCACTCCCCTAGCATGCCCCATCCCAGGCATTAGTGGTCTGGGTTTTCCAGGGTGGTTTTTGTGGAAGTTGTTTACCAGGTCAGTGGTGTGAACATCTTGCACCAGTTCCCAGAAGTATATGGAAAACCAGGTGTATTCAGAATGAAAAGGTTAAGTCAACTTGAAAGATGAATGGGTTTATTTGCCAGGGCCTTTGATGTCCCTGGCAGTCCAATTACGAGTTGGCCTGTCCATGTGTGGGTATTTTGTTGAGAGCCGTAACCTTTGGCCTACCAAAAGGAGGGGCCCCTCCAGTCATTGATGGTCAGCATAATGTTTGTAGCTCTCCTTGGTATTTTCCAGGTGAACTTTAGGTCATCTTGGGTTTGGTGTAGCTGTTGTAGCCAGTCAAGGGCTGCTGGGTTGTGGGAAGCTGTGGATTGATCAGGAAGAACCCAGGATAGAACCCTGAGTCTGAGAAAAAAGGGGCTTTGCCCCATAGAGGTATGTTCTACATAATTGTAGATGAACTCTGCCTGAGGTAGCAGCAAGGACCAGTCGTTCCGGTAGAATTTTATGTAGCATTGAAGGTACTGTTCCAGGATGTGGTTGGTTCTTCGCATTTGATCTTTTGTCTGGGAGGTGGTAGGTGAAGGAGAGCCAGCAGCAGATGTCCAGAATCCAGAGAGCTCCTCGTTGGAAGTGGGAGATAAATTACACACTGTGGATGGATGATGTGCTCCAGGAGGACATGGTGGTGGACGATTTGATCCACCCAGAGCCAGGCATTTTCCTGGGAGGAGGTTGGGCCAGTGCAGGTGATGAAGAGTGCCACCTTTGTGAGGAGGTCCACTACTGTCAGAATGGTCATGAACCCATTGGACTCAGGTAATTCTACTACAAAATCCAGGACAACTATCCAGAGGCCGGATGAAGTCTCGAGGGATTGCAGGAGTCTGAAGGGTTTATTGTGCAGTACCCTGGAGCGGGCCCATGCATTTCAAGAGACCCATAGGCCTGTGCTCTGGCCTGCTTGCAAGGCTACCAGAAGAGACAAGAGACTGGGCAGAAAATGTCCTGCCAGTGGGGAGTCGTGACATACTTGTAGATTTGTAGTTCTTGAGCGGGGGGAGAGGGGGCAGGGAAGACCCTTTCATGTAGATGCCCTGCCTTATGGCTTCTGCTCATCAGGAGGGATCCCATGGCCTGTATGAGGGTGAGCAGGTCTTGGTGGGAAGCCATGCCCAGAAAGTTATGAGGTTTTGAGGATGCAGGAGAATTTTGGGTTTGAGTCCTTCAGATAAGCATAATATTTTCCTCTTGTGGGACACAGCATCAGCCATGCTATTTTTTGTTCCTGGATGATAAGAGAAATCAAAATCCAAAAAGAATGAGGCCTACCTAAGTTGTCATTGATTGTGGACTTTGGACCTATGCAGATATTCTAGGTTCTAATGATGATGTATGCCTGGATGGGGTATCAGGCCCCTTCTAGATAGTGATGTCACTCTTCAAAGGTGATCTTAATTGCCATGAATTCTTTGTCTAAAATGTTGTAATTTTGCTCTGTGGATGTGAGTTTCCTGGAGTAAAAGGCACAGGGATGTAGCAATTGTTGAGGACTGTGCTTTTGGGATACCACCACTCCTGTCATAAACAGATAGTTAAGGGTTAATGACTCTTTTACCTGTAAAGGGTTAAGAAGTTCACCTAGCCTAGCTGACACCTGACCAGAGGAGCCAATGGGGGGGACAGGATGTTTCAAAAGGAAGGAGAGAAGTTCCCTTTGTCTTTGGTCAGTTTCAGTTTTGGCCGGAGTGCAAAAGATCAAGGAATCAGCCTCTTAT